CATTTTTCATATAGTATTTATAGGTGGGACCCTCTTTGTTTAAATTTTGGATTGACCCTTATATCTCTATGAAATATTATTTCTTTTATACAAATGTGTGAAAATTTTGTAATACAATCTCCCATCTAATCTTAGCATTCAAGACGCTAATATTACCTTAAAAATAACACAACTCGTGCATTGCATGGGGCAAAAACTAGTGATTCATAGACAGACGATGCTGCCTCGTGGAGGGAAATTTTTGTCATTCTTGACCAAGAAAATTGCCTACTCAACAGGATCTAGATCACACAAGCTAATTTCTAATTCCCTATCATTTCTAATTCATACCTTTCTGCATTGATGCATGAAGAAGAAGTTACCCATGATGCAGCATTTTTCTAACTGATAAGAAAGAATCAATTATCATTTTGGAAATCTCAAACACCTGTTGTGTTTGGATTCTGTTAGACTCGAGGCTGCACTAAGTTTTACCTTGTTCGTTTTGAAAAGGAGTGTTTCTCCATTGCATTTACAAATTTGTGCAAGTGCTTAATGTAATGCGGGAAAGTTTCAAGATTGCAGTGTCCTCTACCTTGGAGTCGGACCCATAATAGATCATATTTCTCTTTAGAAAGTTCTCCCAGTCGCTTACCATGGGACCAATCGACAATATCATCATTTGTGCTATGCAAACATTGAGCCAACGAAATAAGAGTTGTTGAAAACACAATCAGCTAGGGATGCGGAATACAGGTAGAGGTTAAATATCAAGAAGGAATGTTTTTTATTTTTTATTTTTTTGTAACACACAACTATGTTAATCTATCCTGACCCATAAACTTGAATAGAAGAAGAAAGAGAAGAAGCCAGAAAAACATTTAGTCACATGGAAAATATGACTACAGATTGAACATTCTGTACTAAATCACTGGTTGTGTTCATTAATATGGCCATGCCAAATCAAGAAAATCTTTCTAATCTTATTCCTAGTTTGTAGTGACAACATAACCAATTATTAGAAACTTGCATGAGAAACTTTGACATTCTGTGTAGAAGAATATTTGAACGGTAATATAATGTGTGATACATTGGTCTCTTAGTCCAAAATGAAATATAACTATTGTTATGCCGCTGGTGAGGGTTTCTCTTGAACTAACATATATAACCAGACTTATGATTATTAGACTTAAGCATTGCAACAGCAGTCGAACAGACTCCTCTATGGAGATTCCTTGAAAATCCAAATGAAGTGAAACCTTATCCACACAGAAAGCTGTCTTCTTTTGAATATTCTGCCAATTATTTCAATTCTTTGTTTCACTTTCTAGTTTCTCAAATCCAGGATATGAGTTTTTTT